GTCATTCTAAATATTTTCAGGGTTTTTTTAATAGAGATTCGAGTTTAAATCCTCTCTTCATTGAATTGATGGGGAACCTTACTTGAGTCCACATGATTTTACATTTCTTGCCTGAAGAGAAATCTTCCCAAACACCCATATTAAAAAGGAGAGCTGATATTGTGACTGTGCTGAATAAGAGGGGTTAACTTGTAAGTGGAGTAGTTCAAATGTGATTATAGATCGAGGGGGGAGGATGAGGAGTTTATACCGCCTTGCCAGCACATTTTAGATGATCGCTGTTTGGTGCTCACTGAGAATCTTACCATGGTTGCCAACACGAAACACTTTTCACAGGTAAGGGAAGCAACCTTACCTGAGTAAAAATTAATGCCAACTTCCTGTGTAATGTCTGAATGTAATACCTCAGGTGGACATGTTTATATGTATTGGAAATTCCTCTTTTATCAATGCTCTTTAACTTCTCTTCTGGTTTTGTACTTGTAATTTAGGAGAGAATATCAGTGTGTTGTTTTTAAAGAAAAAACACATTTGTTCCTAAATATAGCAGGTGAAATACCTTGCCTGCACTCATCTTTTTTACTTTGAGTAAAAAAATAATAAATGAGTAAAATAATAATAAATGGCTGGTAAATGTCTTCTGGCTGGAAAATCTCCTTAAGGGGAGAGTTTTTTTCACTTGTATTTTATTTTCATATGGCAATCCACAAAGGGTGAAATCGTTTGTGCAGAGCACAGTTATTTATTTGTCCACTAAATCGCAGCACAACCTTCTGTATCGATTTTAGTTCTGATATCCGTCAAGAGCTATGTGCTCGCAAAATAAGACAATGTGAGCAGGCAGAAAGCATTGCCATCAAACCCCTTTGACAGGCATGAGTAATATTTCCAGCAGTAATGAAGATCCCTGACACTGGGAAGAATAAGAACTGAGTAGAGATTCTAGTCTATGTGTTATGTAGCTTATTCTGATGCCTCTGAGGAGTTCAGCTTTGCATTTGAATTTAATTTTGTTGGGGAGTCTTCTTTAATTCACAAGAGGAGACAAAAAACTGCTCTGGCAATCTGCTCTGAACTTGCATGTATTTCTTTGTTCCTGTTGACTAACGAGCTTTATTAAAAGACTTTGTTTTTCATATTTGCAGTAATACATCTGTGTATTAATGACAACAGGGAAATTGAAGTGTGTGCTTATGTATGCACATTGTCCTGGTTTCAGGTTATATGTATGTATATATGTAGGGATTTACATAAATCCATTGTATTTAAATAAAAAAAGTAACTTCATTCTGTGAAGAGGGTGAAAGAGCTCTGAGACAGGTCTCTCTGTAGTCCCATCCTATCCTGTCAAGGTTCATCTTGGGTTTAAAGTGGAAGATGAAAAATAAAATAGCTTTTATTTTAGGTTGCTTTGACTGGAGACACTGTACATTGTGCACAAACAGGCTGAGAGGAGGATTTGACTGAGGCTCCAGCTGTACAACAAGTCAGAAGTGATAGAACTGAGATTCTGTCTACCCTGTTATTATCACTTCTGTATATGTGCATTGTGCCAAGCTTTTCAAGAGCTGTGGGGTTTGTTTTTTTCAGTGTTTTTGTTGGTTGTGGAGTTTTTAGGCTACTCAATGTTCTTATCCTTTGGGTTTGAAATAATGTTTTTTAATATGCAGAGTTGATGTAAGTCTGCAAATTGAGCTGTAGAAATCAAGCAGGGAGCAGTTATGGTGAGTTTCATCTGCATTCATTCAGTCAGCTGCAAGTTAGAAGTGTGAGCGAGCTCTCTTTAGAGGCGATGGAAAGAAACGGATCAGATGAATCATCCTCTGCAGGTGTCTCTTTTCTCTGACTGCAGAATGCTAAGGAAAAGGAAAGCTTTCTTGGAAATGGTGCTTTTTGACATGTAGGCAGCTACATGGATCCCCCCTGCACTGACTACTTGGCAAGAAGTTTGATTTAAAGAGTTCCCAGTGATTTCATTTCAAAGAGTTAAGTCAGAGGAGGGGTGGAAGAAAGTTCCCCCAAGGCATTGCATTCTCTCCTTGCTGTTGGATTATCCTTTTTCTTTTTACTGCTTTGTTTCTTCCACACTTTCAGCCTCCATGGTATGAGGCAGTACTTCTACAAGCAGTGATCTATTACACTACACAAATGTGATTCCTCCTTAGAAACCAGGGTACTTCCTACACGGATATTCTTGGCGAGGGGGAGGAATAGTATATCAGAACATAAATCAGGTCTGTCATAAAGTAGATCTGTAAAATAGGCTGGTTTTAGGCTGTTTATGCAATCTTAATTCTGTTTTATCTGAGTTTTGTGATATTCTCACATATACGCAGATGTATACAGCAATCTCTATAGTAGAGAGCATATTTTTGAAAGAAGCAGACTGATACAGAGCAAGGTTGTCATTAGTGTCTAATGTCTGCTCAGTTTGTTGAATTTGGAACAGTCAACGCCTGCAGAAGTCCCTGTTGCTGGGAGTATCAGATAGCAGCTGAGGTGCTGACAGTGTATTGTGGGCTGGAACAAAGTAGTTCCTCAGCAAATTTCATACTGTCAAAAGAACACAGGAGGCCAGCTCTCTTGGCTTTATTCTGGGCTTTGAAAAGGGGTATCCCTAGTGAATACATTTTTATTGTATAGCTTGAGTTGCCCTACCCTTTTTTCCTTTATTATGTCTTCTAATTAATTATTTTGGTTGGAATGCAAAATAAATTGGAATTCTGCAAGTGCTTGAAAGTAGCTTGACTTCTTAGATCCTTACCATATTTTGCTGTGAGGAATGCTTGAAGGTATTCACTGAACTCTAAGGGACCTGGGGTCTCTGTATTTGATGGAAATAAGCTCCTGCTGTGGGTCATGCAGTGAAATAAAATGCCTAATTCAGGGGGTTAATGTAGATGCTTCTTGACTATCTGTGTTTTAACACTTAGGAACTTTATTTTATTTATTGCTAAGGTTACTCCTCCTGCAAGAATCTGGTAATAATTCTGTCAAGTTTTCCGCCAGCCAGTTTGAATCTGGACAGCATCAGACTGTATAATCCTTTTCTGTATTGCAGATACTTACATGAAGCTTCTGACATTTTAATTTTCTTAGATCTGTGATTTGAAAAGGATAGCAAGAAGTTCTTTGGATTTATATTTGTACTAGATGGCAGGCAGTTTCTCTGCCCTTTGGATGGATGCAAATTCCAGCTTCTGTTTCTCCTTTGGAAGTCAGATGCTCTTCTCTTTTGCTCAGCATAAATAGACTGAGGATTCCTGGTTACTAATTGCAAGTCAGGGTCTGGATTCCCTCCCCTTTCTCCTGTCAGAATTAATCCTTTTTCTATTGCATGTTTTGTTGGTTTGGGTTCTTTTTCTCCCCCCTTGCCTAATTAGTTTTGTGGGTTACTTACGTTTTGCTCAGGACTTTTGTCTTTCACCAGACCTTTAGTTTTTGTGGGTATTTTCAAGATCTCATTTATAATACAAGGAATAAGAAAACTTGATACAGCAAGTAACAAGGCTGATTTCTTGTAGTGCTGTCCTTTGTGCTTTTTTAAGTTGGCAGCAGTTGTAGAAAGAGTGACACCATGTGTTAAGGTAAGAATTTAACTTTTCTTGATTTAGTTGCTATTACATCTTCAGTACTCTCGTCCTTTACCATGTTTGTCTTTTATCATCCATCAAACGTTAACGTTTTCTGTATGCTTGCTTTGCCGTGCTTTTGTTTTCCATGTATATATACCTGGAAAATTTCCATGTGTACATATTACAGCTCAATGTTTATAGCTACATGTGCTTTGAGAGAAGTTGCAGTGTCTTTAACTATTTTAACTTCCTGTTCAGTTTCCTTTACTGATAAAGGTGGGTTTAAATTTTGTTTAGTAATTTAAGAAATACCTGAAGGGGGTTCTACAAGAGAGCTGGAGAGGGATTTTTACAAGGGTTAAAGGGACAGGACAAGGGGAATGGCTTTAACATGACAGAGGGGAGTTTTAGATTAGACATTAGGAAGAATTTCTTTCCTGTGAGGGTGCTGAGGCACTGGCACAGGTTGCCCAGAGAAGCTGTGGCTGCCCCATCCCTGGCAGTGCTGTGGCTGCCCCATCCCTGGCAGTGTTCAAGGCCAGGTTGGGCAGGGCTTGGAGCAACCTGCTCTAGTGGAAGGTGTCGCTGCCTGTGGCAGGGGTTGGAACTGGATGAGCTTTAAGGTCCCTTCCAAACCAAACCAGTTTGGGATTCCAAATGCACCTCTGGAAAAAAGAGTCTCCATAGAAAAAGAAGATGAAGTATTAGTAGTGTGAAGATGCTGATGATGAGAGTCTGTGGTAGACATGCAGTGTAGTGCTAAGAATAGAAAGGTTTTCTCTATTTCTAGGAAAAATGACAAATAAATTAAAGGTGAAGCTGAAAAGCAGGGTTTCTTGGGGAAAGGAAAAGGAGGTACTTTAGGCCAATGTGTAGAACGCATTGCAGTGAAGGACATAAAAATATGTACAAACAGTATTTTGCTATTAGCATAGTTTCTGAGATTATTCAACACTGTTAGGGTAAAATAGAGGCTTGTGTGTGTTAGCATGTTACCCAGTCATGAGCATTTGGGGGGCTGAGAAGCCAAATCTGATTTTAGGCTATGTGTGCCCAGCGATGGCTCCTGCTGAGGTTGCAGGTGCAGCAGTGTGCTGCTGGCTGTGTGCATACAGAAGGTATTCAGCTGCTGGATGATACTTTCTGCTTGAGGACCTGTTTCATACTTCTCTTGAGGAAAAGGTCCTAGGCTGAACAGAAACACTGTACAAGCCAAATCTGCTCAGGGCCTGTCAGACCACACGTGAGTCAGTCTGTGCCTGCTTTGGAGTAGGAGATAAAGAATGCTAGTAGGAAATAAAACTTTAATACCATTGCTAAAACAAAAGGTGCTGGGCTGAATCACGGACACTTGCTTGTTCGATAAAAGTAATGTATTGTCTCTTTGCCTCCCCTCTGCTTTTGTTTTTTTTTGTTGTTGTTTAGGTTGAATTTTCCTATCCTCCCCTAAAGCCTGCAGAAGGACATGACAGCCAAAGTTTGCCAGAGGAATGGAAGTACTTGCCATTTCTTGCCTTACCGGATGGGGCTCACAACTATCAGGAAGGTAAGAAGTGAGAGAGGAAGTTGTATCTACTACTGCTACTGCAATCAAAGAAAACATCTTGACGTCTGAACAGTTCATCGGTGATTCTTTTAGACTTCCTGCATTGTTTTTGGTTTAAGCTGCCAAGTACATTGGCAAAGATACGTTGCTTCAGACTTTGAAATGAAAGTAGATCATAAAGGTGATCCTACATCAAGAAATCAGATGTTGATAAAAGCCTACACTTGCGTGTAGTCTAGAGCAAAACAAGGCTCCAGCCCTCTCAGTTCTTTGAACGGGGAATAAACTATTAAGTAAAACCTAATCCAGTTTTGAGGGAGTAATGAAATTCTAACATTCTGCTTTCATTATGTTCTCTACTAATTCAGAGGTTCTTAGAGTAACCTACAGGTCACTCGGTGTCTGTAGAATGGTGTATTTTGAAAACCAGCAAATGTAAAGGGCAGGAACAGAAGCTTTAGTGCATTTGTCAGCAGAATGATTCCTTTGCCACATATTTACCAGCAAATTCACTGCAGTTATTTTGTTTCTGTTGCTTAGTATTGCATTTATTTGTTGGACAGCAGTTTGGTTCGTCACCATGACATTTATATGCAAGTTCAGTTGTTTCATCTGGGCTTTTTTTTCCTGCATAGCAGTGAACAAGGAAGTCACTTAAAACAGCAAAATCACAGAAATGTTTTAATACTACTTTTAATAAGGGTTTTATGTTGTTGTTGTTTGTTTTTTTTAACTCTATGTACTTAGCTTCCTAATTCTCCAGCTTACAGAGATCTCATTTGGAAGCAAAAAGAAAGTAATATCAAAATAATCCCCTGCCTAGCAGTAAGAAGACTCCAGTCTGGGTCATGATTCAATAGCTCGATTTCTGTGGTGTTAAATACATAAGGAGAAATAGGCTACATTCAAAGCCGGGAAAGTCACATTCAGCCACACCTACATGTATTCTCTTGGCTCAGTACCATCCCTCAACTTTAAGCATTTTTATTACTGTACTAAAAGCTTTTCAGTGTGTAATTTTGGGTAAATAAATAAAGACTTGGCAACAAAACTGATATATATTCTTGTGTCCTGTAAACGAGAACGCACCTGAATTTGAAACAGGCAAGTATGTTTCAGATAATAGTTACGCTTACTATAGCTTTATTAGATATCTATTTTTTGAGTTTTAAAGTAATTCCCACTGGTAGTTGCATTTTTTCAAAGGAGATGATGGTTCAGGAAATAGTCTTCAAGGCTTTCTAAAACCCTAGGTGGTCTTCATAATGTCATTAAACTTGTTTGAGGGAGTTAGCTTTGTTGTGAATAGTCCCTCTTTCTGTTGGACTTAAAAGCATGTAGGATTGTCTCTTCATTTTGTTACTGTGAAGCAAAGTACTAGTAGTTGGTTTCAAAACAAGTTCCACTCAGGTTTTTGAAAGGTAAACAGTTGTAACCTGTTGTCTTCTAGTTACAATTTAGCAACAACAAACGGTCGTAAAGTTGTCTTCTAGTTACAATTTAGCAACTTTTGCAGTAGTAGCAAGTGTATATGTATGTACATTGGTGTGTAGGTCTCAAGCCATAAAAGTCTTTCTCTTGTCATATTTTATAGATACTTCTTTTTTTCTTTCATGTTACACTTGCACAGAGAGAGTATTTATTTTGTGTGAGACAAGGATTCACAAATCATTTTTGTGAGCATAGTGGTGCATGAGTATCTACCTTAGCAGTGGCAGCAGCTATGTTAATCTTTCAGCTGTCCTCCTTGGTGTTTTTTTCCCGTCTTCATGGCATTTACCTTCTTAATGGCATCACACTCCAATTGTATGCCTTGCCTCACACTGCTTTGTCTTTGCTCCTCCATACTGAACTGGAAAAGCAGCATACCTGCAGGTTTTAGTGGTGCTTAGCTGCTGTCAATAGCTGCTGTCAATAGAACCTGTCAGTGGGCTTGTAGGAGCTTTGTTCAGCTAAACACCAGGCTGTTAGAATATCCATATTAGCACAGCGGGAGATGCTTCCACAAAGCATCTTGCAGTCTTGAAACTAATTTGAGTGTAGGCATAGCTTTATAGATGAGTTTTTAAAGTCTCAGAAAATAAGTGTGTCAGTATTTTCAGCAGTGAATGTTTTATAAATAAGTGATGCTGAAAATGACAATATTGGACTCTTGTTAGTAACATATGAAACAAGTCTTTTCTTTTTTCACAGATACTGTGTTTTTCCATTTGCCACCGAGGTGTGGGGATCGAACCACAGTCTATGGTGTCTCTTGCTACAGGCAGATTGAAGCAAAGGTAACTTTCCAAGTTGGGAATTATATTAATGAAATAGTAGGCTTGATGCATTAATGACCCCAAGAATCAGTGGCTTGCATTACACCAACAAACTGCATGATCAGCTTGCATTAAAAACCTATGAAAATATGCATAGTAAATAGCTCCATAACTTGGAAACTATTCCTTTCCCTTATGTCAGCAGGCTTATTGTGGTCTTTTGAAATGTCCAAGGCAATTGACAAATATGTTTTGGCTCTTGTGAGCTAATCCAAACATCAGCACCAAATATGAAAACAGCTATCAGCAAATAGCTAATAGTCTGTTATGGTATCTGGGAATTAAGCATCTTGGGTGGAAAATGTTGAAATTTCTACAGTGTGTGCCCATGAAGAATTCTGGAATGTTTCCTGGAATCTGATGATGCAAGTGTAGGGGTGTTTTTCTTCACCTACCTCCTTTGCTGAAAGTGCACTTGCAGAGTAGACAAGAATCTTCCCATTCATTGTAGCTGCTTACCAATACTGAGCAAGTAAAAAGCAGTAAAGGTGAAAAATAGCTGAGAGGTGGTGTACACCTGATCACACTGAGGAAATGATGTACTTGATCTACTGGAATCTGTCCGTATTTTCAGAAGTAGTAACAGTAGCATGATCTGTGTATGACTGAGAAATTGGGAACTGAATGATCTTTAAAATCCCTTCCAGCCCCAACCATTGTAGGATTCTGTTGCTGAGTTATTACAGATTTAACTTTTAAAGTTCCTCCCTTTTCCAGTGAGATGCCAAAAATCTGGACTGCCATGTGGGTTTGAGCTTTAAATGAGTCTTGTGTTCAGAAGATGTAAATATTGTACTCTGTTCTAGTGTTAATCATACCTTGATTATATTTCAAGTTCCTGTTTATGCTATAGGAGAAATTTTACACATGCAGATTTTAGTTCTATTTCTTCTGAACTAAATCCATGTTGACTTCAGTTCCCTCACTATCTTTGCAGCCAGTCTTCGCTGTATTCTGTGATTTAGAGCCTTCCTCTATTTAACTATAAATTAACTTGGCTTTATTGTGCTCTTGATTAGTTTATGTTGTTTAGTAACTAATTAAGAAGCTAAAGAGATGTTTAACACTTTGGAACAAGTAGAACACAAAACAGTGTGTTTCATAGGACAGCTGTAGTGCTCTTCCCATCTGTTCTTTCTGGTGTGTGGGTTGCAGTCCACACACTTGCTGGTTTGTACCATTAAGTGAATCACTTTGCTGGATTTCTGCCCCACCCTTTCTAGGTCTGCTCTTAAATCCTGGGACCATTTGGTCTGGCTGAGAATGTAGCTGATTCTGCAGATTATACTTCCTATTTATTTGATGGGTGGCTCAAAGAAATCCTCAAGTATAAAGCAAACAGGTTTCTAGGCAAAGACTTTTCAACCTGGTCCATTTCCACAGATACTGTTAGAGAAGAGCAAGAGATGTGTTGTGGCTCCTCTTCTGTTACATTACCTTGAGTTAAAATGCCATTGCCTTTTCCAGGGCTATTGCCTTTTTCTCATGCTAGTGTCTTTTTAAACAGTCCTTTGCCTATCATCACAGTTCTGTTTGGATCTTTGTTGTGCTCACTGAGATGAGAACACAACTCTGACTTTTCAGTGTTATGATCATTTTTACTAGGTAAGGGCAAACTGTTGCATGGTTTGGATATTCTGCCATTTAAGGCAGTCAGTTTTAGGACCCTGTTTAAAACAGGGGGATGGCATGTGGCAACTAGACCTGTATTCACAACTGTGTCTTGTAGAACTACTGTAATACTTCTATTTTTTAGGCATTAAAAGTACGGCAAGCAGATATCACCCGGGAAACTGTACAGAAGAGTGTCTGTGTTCTCAGTCAGCTGGTAAGAATGCTTGTTTAACTCCCAAAACACTTTCAGATAACATACTAAAAATTATTTATTTTCTATGTTCTGATTTGGAACTTTTGGCTCCAAATACCTCTCTTTATTGGAAAGTGAATGTACTGAAGCAAAACTGAGTCAGAAGGCTCTGGCGTTTGAGTGAGCTGCCTGGAATTGATATATAAGTTATTGTAGACGTGTCTGCCTTCTGTAGATGTTATCAGGGATCAGGATATTTATTTGTGCTTTGGTTATTCTCATGTGCTACTAACTTTATTTCAGGTAGTAGGATTAAGGGTTTTTGGCATTATAATACCTGGAGAGAGTGGCTATTGACATTGATGCTCTGACAGTTGACATTGAAAGAGGTTTTAAGATAGTCACACATACAGCACACTCTTGTTTTGAACAAACATCTTGTGATTCTACCTATTTAGCAAAAGCTGTCTGTCACCAGGCAGGGAAAAGGGATTCTTTCTGTGCTTAAAGCTGAAAGATTTAAGCACAGGAGGAGGATGCTGCAAGTTAGCAACTGCCCCTCCATGAACTCTGTGTGTAATAATGTGTCTATATTGCAAGATAAGAGTGGGAGAAGATTCTACTTTAAAATGAGGGACTAAATAAGTTTTCTTCACATGCTTTTGTGTTTGTTTTTCTCCCAAGCCTTTGTATGGATTACTTCAGGCGAAGCTGCAGCTCATCACACATGCGTACTTTGAAGAAAAAGACTTCTCACAAATTTCAATTCTTAAGGTAACTTTTCAATAACAGCCACACAACAAACTTTCAGTGTACAGAACAAAGCTTTCAGTGTACGGCTACAGGTTTTAGTGTGTACAGTTATTGCTCAAATATTCCATTTGCATAGGTCATTCAATTATTCAGCTGTTGTAACAATTTAACATGAACTATTCTAATTTGACAGAGAGTCACCTTTCTGATGTGTAGTGAAATACAAGAACAAGCATGATTATCAGTCTGTATCTCCATTGACCCCATCAGTAAAATCTGTCTTTCTGGAATAAGATGTTGAGATCCTTGAAAAAGCGAATTTTATTTATTCTGGATTTTTGGTGACCATGTGCCATTAACAGCTTCTGAGTTTTGTTTTGCTTTTGTTCTAACTTTTACAGGAGCTTTATGATCACATGAATAGTTCTCTGGGCAATTCTTCACTAGAAGGGTCACAGGTTTATCTTGGTAAGTATTTTTGTACAAGCAGCAGAGATGTTAAACTAATCAGCACATTCCCTTCCTGAGCTAATTTGTTTATGTGCATTTAACAAATTAAACAGCAGAGGTCTGTGTGGCTGCACACTATTCTGTTATGTGTTTCTTAATGGATTTCAATAAATGTCAAATAAATTGAGTGTTGCTTTCATAATAGGAGTTAGTTGTAGGTTAAAAGCCGTGTTACCTCTTCACCCAACAGCCTGACAAGCCACTGCTTGGCTGCTTTTAGGAAACAGTACCTTCTTAATTTCTAGGTTGAGCTATTTGATGGTGTAGGGTGCTCAGGCTTTCATCATCTGTTTTTTGGGATAGATCCCATCTGATTCTGACTCTTTTCTGTGTTTTCTGAATGAACAGTGAGTACTTCAGCCTTTCCATAATGCTGTATGGTAGCCAACAGGAGTCAACTCAAGAGTATGACAGTTCATGTTATTATTGTCTCATTTGTAGATATAATTCTTGCTCCTGCTTAAAAGAAAGTATTTTATATGAGTTCTGCTCTTGAAATAACCAGGTTCACATAATGGGTGTCCTGTCCCCTCTGAAAAATGGTGACAAGACTTATTTTAGTATCTCTACAAGCTATTAAGCTGTAGTAATTGCTCTCTTTTTGGAATCTCAGGTCTGTCTCCTCGGGATCTTGTTCTTCACTTTCGACACAAGGTAGGTGTTCTATACCAGATGTATGAAGTACAGCACTTTGTGGGGTAAAATGCTTTGAGAGGAACTGAAAAATAAACATGTCTAGACATACCCGAGCTAGGAGCAAGATGACTGTTTCCTAAGTGCTTCTGGTTACAACCTCCTCATTTCCTATCCCCTTCCACCTACATAAATTCAGTGAATATGTAAGTCCTAGACTGACAAGTTTTGCCTGTGTGCTGGATTCCTTGGCCATTTCTACATTTGTGTGACATTTCTTTAGACCTGTCCCAGACTGCAGGTGGGATCTCAGTTATGATCTTGTTTCTATTTCCTGCTTCTCATCAGATGAATGTGATGGAAGAATATTGTTAAAGTTTGTGCAGGCACAACTTGGAGCATTTTTCCCTGTATCTTGTAATTTCTGCAGCTTCTGCCATCACAGAACTTGAGGGGACTAGCTCCTCTTCTATTTCCCAATGACTATTGAAATGCAGCGTGTATCCTATAACTAAGGTACAAATAACATTTAGAATCTTATTAACTGAGGGAGGTATCAAGGAAGCAAATTAAAGAATCTGAATTTCATGATGTATTTGTGCCTGCTCAGTAAATTTTTGGGGTAGAACTCATTTTTGTTTAACAGCAGAGGTCTGCCAGTCATACCCCAGAATTGTCTGTGTTTTAATTTGAGTGTAGAGAGTCTGTACGGCCACTCTGATCTAGATGTCTCATCTGTAGATGCCTAAAATTAGGTGAGGTGAATGACAGTCTTGGTATTCTGCTGAATCTTTTCTGTAATTCTGTGGAGGAACTCCTTTACGGTTCTGTAGTTTACTGGGGTTTTTAAATTCTTGAGTTATGCAACATGTACTTTCTGATAAGCTTTGTATGCTTCAAATTACACAATTCTTTGTGTAGGCTTTTCATTGTGTATCTCAAATGCTGATTTAAAATGAGTGCTCAGGTGGGAAAAGAGTATTGGAACACTGGTTTTCACTGGTCAAATGTATTTGCTCATTTGACAATCATGCAGTGATTAACATGAAACCTTGGGTAAAAGATTAGGCTTGCACAGTATTTTTGATAAATGGCACTGGTTCACTCACCATATTTCTCCTTTTTGTGTTTTTTTCTGCAGGTGTTGATCCTTTTTAAACTGATTCTTCTAGAGAAAAAGGTAATGTTTTGTAGGCTGAGGTAATTAAAATAGAAGATGCAGTTGTAAAAATTTGCCTCCACTTCTGTTCTGTTCATACTGAACCTTATTAATGGTTGTCCCAGTCAGAGTAAGTAAAATTTTATTAAATGTGAATGGAGAAACTTAACATATTATAAAAGATAAGAAAGGATACACATAATGCAAATAGGTACCTGTGTGAAGGAACCAATAGGAAAGCTGGTACCCAAAAGGCTGTGTACAGTTTTACATTTTTAAATAGGCATATCAAAGAAAACAAGTGCTAGAAGTGTCTTTCAGACCTGAATTGCATGAACACTTGCAGGAGACAAGGTAAAAAGCCTATCTGTTAAGTCAGGCTGAACTTACATTGAGTGGGTAAAACCAGTTGAATTCTAGGCTCAGTGTTTTCTTTGGGCTATCTCACTGTCCCAGAAGTAATGCTGACTTAGTCATTTAAGTGCAATGTGCAAAATGTACAAGCAGATGTGAAACAGAGACATTTGTTTTCTTCTGTGTGTGTGTGTATATATGTATATATAAAAATACCCTGGAACAAGCACTTTCAGTGAAACCAATGTGTATCAGGTCTCAGATATATGAAGGGATTTGCTTTTGTTTGTTTTGCTTTTTTAAACTTATTGTTTAAAATTCTGTTTCAATTTCCCAAATGTCACCTTTTCTTAGCAAACCTGCTCTGTTAAACCCCAACTTCTTCAGAGCACTGAGAAGGAAAATGAGGATTTCCTGTTAGCTGCAATTGGAAAGTCAGTAGGACTTAATCTATAAAGAAAGTGTTCAAGGCCAAGTTGGATGGGGCTTGGAGCAACCTGCTCTAGTGGAAGGTGTCCCTGCCCATGGAAGGGGTTTGAAACTGGATAATCTTAAGGTCATTTCCAACCCAGAGCAGTCTGTGATTCTGTGAGTAATTCTAAGTATAAACAGTTGTGATTTTTTTTTAAGCTTATTGAAGGCCTGGGTATCGTTAGTGAGGCAGTAAATATGGTTTTAAAAACAGAAGTAACAGCTTCTCGGAAGCTTTTGCACTTGTCACTTGTAAATTAAATATACCTTGACAGTTCTAAATATTTATTGATGAGAATAAATGCATTGATGAGAATTTATAGAATCACAGAATAGCATTATAGAATGGTTTAGGTTGGAAGGGGCCTTAAGATCATCAAGTTCCAACCCCCTGCCATGGGCAGGGACACCTCACACTAAACCATGTCACCCAAGGCTCTGTCCTACCTAGCCTTGAACACTGCCAGGGATGGAGCATTCAGAACTTCTCTGGGCAACCCATTCCAGTGCCTCACCACTCTTACAGTAAAGAACTTCTTCCTTATATCCAATCTAAACTTCCCCTGTTTAAATTTTAACCCATTGCCCCTTGTCCTATCACTACAGTCCCTAATGAAGAGTCCCTCCCCAGCATCCTTACAGGCCCCCTTCTGATACTGGAAGGCTGCTATGAGGTCTCCACGCAGTTTCTGCATTTAAGAGCTGTATGCTAAAGACTGCTAGGTATGAAAGGCTAGGCAAAAGGTATACTTGAGAAATTACAATTATGACATAGTAAGAGTGCACATGGAAATATGTATATAATCAAGACTCAATATGCAAGCTTTTTCCCCAGAAGAACCGAATTCTGCATTGTTTTTTAAACCATAAATGGAAAGAATATTTCCCAGTAGGATTTTGTAACGTATCTCCATGGATCTGTTTAAAAACTTGTAATACCATTTCATCAAGTCAGTTCAGTATCTGGACATAAAGAAACAAAATGCTTTCTTAAGTTACAGTTCTTCTCTGAAGCTGCTCAAACCCCAAGACATAAATGCACAGGAAGAGGAAGGGTTTCCCAAGCATGTTCATGTGACTCAAACATATGAAATTGTTTTTAAAGTAACTGGATACTTGTTGAATAAACCTGCAGGTTGCTTTAGTTTTGTTTTTCCCTGACCTCCAACAGGAACACAATGCTTGCATTTTCAAAAGGAAGAGTTTAGGTTTTCTGACACTGCCTGTTTTCTGGCACATATTAAGGTTCCAGAGTAACAGAAGGAATCTGTATGTTCAAAGACCTTAAACATAATCTCTAAGAAGCCACTAGTAATGCCAGTTTTCCTTGATCTGAAAAATGCCTGAATGCCACAGACAGATTTGCTTTAATCCTTAGCAATTTGGTTGATGCCGTTCCACAGGCTAAAGAACTGGTTTTCCACCTCTTGGCTGTCATTAGGCTGGAAGATTACTTCCAGATGGTGATCATTGGGTTTTCTGCTGCCAGGACCACCCAGTTTGCTGATGTAGATGTTGTAGGGCATATAATAGGGTTGGGAGGGGTCAGGAAGCGTGTGCACATATAGACAGAGAGATGGCAGAGGGGCTTGATGGAACCAATATAGAAAAGTACTCGGCTTAAGTAAGCAGTATACCAAGTGAAAACTTAGGATGGAATAGATTTCTTGTAAGCAAGATGGTACTTACAGACCTAATTATTTCTGTAGGCTTAAAAATAAGCTTGACTAGGAATACATGTTATCTGGGAATCTAAATCTCTAGAGGTATTGCAAGATTTCTGTTGTAGTTCATTGCTGTTGGGTCCTGCATCTTTCATTCGTGTGTTAGAAAGCAGCATCCTAGAAGAAGTTTGACTTTTTTGATTCCTGTTGGAGTCAGCTGAAATCCTGTCCTCAGATGAGCTGCTTGTTCTCATCATGCTTTCTCTGTGGCTGTAGCAATTGAATTTGCCTATCTTGAACATAGAAAAAAGAAAATTTGTGCAAGATAATACACATAATCTGTTTCTAGCTGATGTACTATTAAATATCATTTGGTGCGTGTTAGGTCTCTATAGGTTTTTCTTTCGGTTCTATCAATTCACTAGCTTGTAGACCTGCAAATAGTAGTGAAACATGAGTTCATCAGTCACATTAAAGTGTCTTCCTAGCTGACAGCAGAAGTCTTCTAGTAAGTCTACAAATTTGCACTTTTAATTTCATCATAAACCTATTAAACTGGCTTGCATAGTCATCAAGTTAGGTTGTTCTGCATTCCTTTGGTTGATTCCTTGTAATGCTTGCCTGTCTTGGAGGAGCTTCAGTAGTAATATTCAGTCTGCCTTGCGGTTCTTTCATTGCTAGCCTTTGACACCCCTCCTTTTGAATTCCTAACTAATTTACTAATCACAGTCTCTCTGGCTTAATTAAGGAGATTCTCTATTCCCATGTTATGCCTTAAGTGCTTTACCAAAGCTAATTATCAGTCATGTTTTCTGTTTCCACAAAATCTTGGGTTTAATCATAGGAAGACACTGCTAATAAATATATGCTACATTTATCCTGGTTTTCATTTATCTGCATAGCTTTAATTTATTTTCTTAGAAGAGATGGTTTTGCATAGTTTTTTTGTCAGAATTCTGGAATGGAGATTATTTGGCCTTTTTGATTTATAACAGACATTATAATGTACTACACATGGATAAGAATTTATGCGGTGTGCCAGGAACAACTTTTTCCTGTCAGTTATTCAGTAACTGAATCAATTTGGAGGGAAAAAATCCTGAACAACTGACAGTAAAATCCAAATGATTGACAAGTATCTATTACACATGGCTGTATATATGCAGCATATATATATCACAAATAAAATGTAAGGGTATAATAGACATTTAAATATTTGAAGTACTGTAAGAGCTTTTGTTGCTACGCAGACTCTCTAAAATAACATAAAAAGCAATGCTTGAATAGTTTGCGTGTGTTCTATATACCTTTGTCATGCTTGAGTGTAATTTTATTTTTCTCGTTCTCTCCTCCCTAATTCTCCTTTTCTCACCCCACCCCTCTCCCTTCTGCCACTAGGTGCTATTTTATATCTCTCCAGTCAATAGGTTAGTGGGAGCTCTGATGACTGTCCTGTCACTCTTTCCTGGTAAGAAGAGAAGTTTAGACTTTTTTTATATGCTTTCTGGTAGTAACTGGGACGGGCAGTTTCATATGGCAGACAACACAGGTGACAATAGAGTCATGTTTGGTATGTTGCTTGAAAAACAGGTGACTTTTATGTGTGTACACATATCCTAATTCTTGCTACTTACACGCTATGGGTTATTTCTTGTGCTTTATTGGAGCCACTGGATCTTCTGTATTGCCAGTGGGTAACATAGGTGGGACCCTGAATAAGTCACATGTTCCTGGTGAGTTCAAACAAACAAAACCAAAACCCCTAACCTTGCTAATTCCTAGCTTCTAACCAGTCTCCTCAAAGAAGAAAAGTTGGGGAAGATTGTTTAGGAGAGAAAGTGTGGGGTTTGGGTTTGGTTTACTTCTGTGTTTTTTTAACACAGCTTCCCCCAAAAGTAGTGTTTTAAAAAACTTGATTTCCACTACATACACCAAAGCACTTTGTTCATTTTCTTTATTCAAAGTCACTTCTATTTCCATTGAGATGCTGATACTCCTGTGTGCTATCACTTTCCAGGAATGATTGAACATGGTCTTACTGACTGCTCACACTATAGACCAAGAAACAGCATATCAGAGGATGCTGGGTTGCAGGAAAATACACCACATTTAGGTGACCCTGTTTCTGCTGCTGATACTTCAGATACAACTTTGGGAATGGGAAAGGGAAGCAGAAAGGTGGCAGAAAACCTTTCACTGGAAGGTCAAAAAACAAGCATGCCTTTCTCCCCATCAGAGAAGACTTGCAATGGAGCTCAGTCCTCCAACAGTGCTGTGCAGCGCTTGAAAGTTCCTTCCCGTGCTTCTCCAGCATCCTCTGAAAGTGACTGGGAGACCTTAGATCCAAGCATTTTGGAGGAGTCTAATCTGAAAGAAGGAGAAGGTGAAAATATAGCATCAGAACAGGCTGAAAATATTCTGAGCTCAGAAAGCCTTCCAATCACTGTGCAACCCCAAGCAAATACAGGACACGCAGTGCTTGTTCCAGGACTGATTTCTGGGTTGGAAGAGGACCAGTACGGTATGCCGTTGGCTATTTTTACAAAGGTAAACATGTTGTTCATGATACCTGGTAACTCATAAAGACATCTGTTTTTCAGAAGTGGCTAATAATTTTGGTTACCCAACTCCAGATCGACAGTAGGGTACTACAAAACAAGTCTCTGGCAAGTAAGTACAGTCTCTGGCAAGTGACTGTGTTCCTAGGCAGGTGGAAAGTGTGAGTGCACGTCTGTGGTTAATAAACGGTATGTAACTACTGTTTTCTTTCACTCTGAGTTGTTGATCTAACCTGTATGGGGCAAGATCAGAGTACTTAAGAAGTGGTTTGATACATTAATCTACACTAAGATTCTGAAAGCTTTATTTTAGCTAACACCTAAGCCTGTGTTTCCCTCTTCTTATGTTTATATGTATGTATTTATAAATACATATATGTGTATATATGCGTAAAATGTGTATATAAATGTGTATCTGTATGCACACACAAGAATATATAGAATCATAGAATCACAGGCTGGTTTGGGCTGGAAGGGACTTAAAGCTCGTCCAGTTCCAACCCCCTGCCATGGGCAGGGACACCTTCCACTAGAGCAGGTTGCTCCAAGCCCCATCCAACCTGGCCTTGAACACTGCCAGGGATGGGGCATATATATCCAATTTCATTATTTTTTACATGGTAACTCCCAGTTATCTGGCTCTTTCTCTGTGCCTGGTGCAGAGCCACTGAAGTTTAAGCTTGTGCTGGTGCCTTACTGAACTCCAGGTACTCGAGTGTCTCTCTAAGGACTCTGAGCATTGTCAGATAACAAGCAGTACATTTACTAGGGCTGGTTTCCCATAACCTTTCCCCTTCCCCCCCGGAAAGTGCATCCCTGTTAAAGATATTTTTGTTAGTGAAAAAGTTTTGTTTTTAATTTAATAATCTTTTAGAGGAACTTTTGCCCAGAAAGAAGATTCAGATTGATTTCCTCAAGCTGATGAGGTTCGAAGTGGTATTTCTTCCTTTGGAGGTGCTTATTTGCATTTCCTTAATAGAACATTTTATTAAATGGGTATGTGAGCTCCTGTCCATAACTTGCATTGGAAATGGCAGTCTGTGTGGGCTTATGGGAGCAGCTCAAATATCATTGCCCTGTATTGCCTTATGTCACTGTTAGAAATGCTTTTTCAACCAAGATCTGCAGTCTGGTGTTTGTCCATATGGTCTGTCTAATGAAAAGGATAGCCTGTAAATTGTATTTAGTGTAGTTCTATGGGAAATACTAGATTGAAAGCAAGAAGAAAATGATTGATAAGGGGGCCTATGAGTGCAAGCTTAGTTTGCTACTAAGCCCATAAAGTGGAAAAGTAAACAATTTTAAGGAAATGGACAGTTTCTACGTGTTTACCTTCTGTTCCACAATGGCACTTTTCATTTGAATTCATCCAGTGTCATTAAAGCAGAAAAGACTTTACATCTCTTTAAGTTATCAGAAAAATGTCATTTGAAGTTATAGTTTAACCACTATAAACTTGCTGCAAAGTTTAAATCTCTTTTAGAGCTCTCATATCAGTGTTTTTTTATGCAATGCCATGGAAAGACTAATAAATCTGACTAATGAGAGTGCGAGGAGATTTTGCCAGATGGCCTAATTCCTTATCCAAGTACACCTGAGCATAAGAAAAAATAGGTTGTGATACTTGTTTCTTTGGTATCAGTTCTTTAAGTTCTGATACTTATTTCAGTGGCACTCTTTAAAAAGAATGGAACATGTTCACAGAAATAAGAGTAGTTGTACTTAGAGACAAATGTGAATTTAGGAACTGAAACTTGATACTTAAATAGCAAAAGATTTCCAGGACTTTGCTACTTGGCTATCCAGTAATTAAACCTTCCTTTGCCAGCCGTACTTTGGGAAAGATTTCCATTTAAGTTGGTGATTCCCCTTAAAGCACCATTGTTCCTTTGACACAGGCTGTTTGTTCTCAGCTGATAAGGCCTCCTCATCTCGGAAGCCATCCCTGTGTCTAATCTAACAAAAGGGAATAGCTATGCTCCTTCCTTCCATATGTTTCCCATTACCACGTGCTGTGTGATGAAGTGCATGTGCTCTTTTTTCTGTCTGGTATGTGTTAGCCCTTCAGGGTTCCTACCAGTAAATTGCTTTGTGTTTTATACAACTGAACATCTGGAATTAGATTTCAGGGGTATGTTGAGTCTGTATTGAAAAGAAAATTACAATTCCTACAGCTGCTTCTCAATGATCTCTCAATGATTTCCATCAAAGCCTTTTTTACAAAGGCAAAATATTTGGTTGTTGGGGTCTTTTGCAACTGGAATGTAGGATACTAGTTTAACTTGTAATCATGGAGTGGCTAAAAAGCATGGTGTATTGCTTTCTATCCTGCTCTTTCTTAAAGCAGGCATGCATATGGTTATCAGAAATTGATTGCTCTCTCTGGAGCCTGGAAATCTCCACCTACAAAATGTGGATAGCAGTCTGTAGCTTTCCTGCATCATGTGCTTCAGGACTACGAGAAGACATGGTATGCAGGTGGAGAGATGAATCTTTGTTGACTTCTTGTCTCTGAATTGACCTGAGACCTCACTCTTGTTTTATATTGCTTGATCTGTTGCCTTAGAAACACATTTGATTCCTGTCCTTTGTGTTGTGTTTCAGCTTCAGTCCTGGGGCTGAAAGGCAGCATAACCACCTCTTGAAAAAAGTGATTCATGTGGAACCTGGTTGCTTTGCTTTGCAGATGTGATGTAGCAAAGCAATAGATAATCGTGGCTGAAATTGTAATAACTAAGGTTCATTCTGGGTGGAATGTGCTGGTTTTGTTAGGGAAAAACTCTGAATGTAGACAGTTCTAATTGTTTGACATTATGTTAATCCTCTGAACATGTCTGTTCTTTTAGGGGTACCTCTGCTTGCCCTACATGGCACTGCAGCAGCATCACCTCCTGTCAGATGTAACAGTGCGCGGCTTCGTTGCCGGAGCCACCAATATCCTGTTCCGTCAGCAGAAGCATCTGAGTGATGCGATTGTGGAAGTATGAGCCTTTGCCTTTGAGCTTCTTGAACTAGGGAGGGGGGAAACAGAGGTTCCATTTTAAATACAGCTTTAAAGTTTCACATTCATGCCCAAATTCTGACTTATTTCTTTTGAAATCTTAAAATGCAGAAGCATGTTAAATTGGTATCATCTGTTAGGATAGGGTTAGATAAGCTGTGCAAAACTACTACATGTTTTTCTGTATAGTTTTATATGCAATATTTGAATTTGCAGGGCACTTAGGGTTTTGTTGCTGGTATAATTTTAACTTCTTGTGTTGTGGGCTTTTTTCATCACTTTGTAGTAAGGTTTTCAAAAATAAGTGCTTGCAGCTGAGAAACAGCTACAGTTGGGTAATAAAGCACATTGCTGTTGAGTTCCTTCTGATTCAAGCAAGAGATAAAAATCAGTATCTAGTTAGAAAACAATCAGTATCTAGTCAGAAAATATCAGCATCTAATCAGTTCTAGCAAATGGATACAGCTACATAATCAGCATTTGGTAACCTAAGATAGCTACATATAGGTAACCAATGTAATAAATTGAAGTGATAATCAAAGAGCCTCTAGGAGAATGTATGTGAGCACCAAAGTTCCCCTGCCAGATCCTGTCAAATAAGCAGCTTTTATTATGTGCCAGGGAGATTATTAGGTTCTGGTTTTATCAGAGCAGTATCTGACTTTCTGAGAACAGTTAATTCTTTGTTTCTTTGGCTATTTGTTTCTTCTTGATATTGGGGGGACTGTAAGTTTAGATTTAGGTAGTAATATATAGTAATATATATATATATATATATAAGTAATTTTATTTAGATGAATGTTTACCATTGGAACTATTTCAGATAGAAGATGCTCATGTACAAATCCATGATCCAGAGCTCCGTAAGATCCTGAACCCAACAACTGCTGACCTGAGATTTGCAGATTACTTGGTGAAGCATGTAACTGACAACAGAGACGATGTTTTCCTTGATGGCACTGGATGGGAAGGAGGTGATGAGTGGATCAGGGCTCAGTTCAGTGCTTATCTTCATGCACTGCTTGCTGCTGTGCTGCAACCAGGTAGAACAGACGCCTTGTCTAGGGACTGAGATGAGGGTGGGTGTAATAAACATTTGTACTGTTGCATTGAATGTGTGGGCGGTCACTGGATCTTTCTCTACCTCGCATTTCACTTCAGGCTCCTTTTTCGGTTGACCTTGGCTATTCTTGTTACTCCTTGCCAAGCTTGTTACTAACTCTCACTCCACAGCCTGACAGACACTTTTTTCTTTGTCTTCTTTCTTCTTTGTCTGTCTCCTTGATTTAATTAAGCTTTCCTCATAAGTAGAAATACCTGAAACTCCATATGTGATGAGACTTTTACAAACACTGTTGCAGCTTGAGGTTAATTTTGGGGAACTAATTGGATTTGGAGACATTAAGTTAAGAGGCTGTCTTCAGGAAGTTTTTCCAAGGCTATTCCATCTCTTTTCCCTTCCTGCCATAGTCCCAAGCAGGGATTCATATAAGTGGAAAGTGTCATGTAGAGGTGTGTGTGTTTTCTGGAGCTCAATTTTTTGTCTTAACTCAGAAATCTCAATGTTCCAGCTTTTTGTGCATGAATATAACTAAAAGAATCAGTGTTTTATTTGTGGAAAATGTTTAGTTTGCCCAGCACTGACCCTGTTCACTTCATTCTTGTCACAATTATTCTATATTCATATCAAATAACTAATTCAGATTTTGCTCTGTGGTGTATGTGAGAAAACATGGGATTGGGGACTTGATTTTTCAAGCCCGGAAGATGCTCAGTTCCCATCTGACAGTATTTTCAGATGATTCATATGAAGTGCCAGGGTTTTCATACTAACTTTGCTCTAAAATAACTGTTTTCCTTCTCTCCTGGCATTGTATGTTTGAGACAATTTAAAATGAAGCTAAGGAAACATTATTTAAGTGCCTGGTTCTTAGTACTAGGGTTTTACTTGTCCTTGATTTGATAAAAGCCTGGAAAACTTTAATGTTTCCTTACAAGAAAGAATGTGCTATGTCTTGTGTTAGGTCTCTAATGAATTACTGCAAATTCTCATTTTCTTTTTAATTTATCAGACAACGAAAAGACGTTGTCAGACTTTGGAACGGTGTTTGTAGCAGCCTGGAAAAACACCCACAACTACAGAGTATGGAACAGCAACAAGCATCCAGCTCTTGCAGAGGTAAATTCTAGGTAAGGAAAGCATATTTTTTTTTCTTTAAGCATTTACCATGGATTGCTCCTAGTCAGGCACACCATTCTGTAGAAATACAGTGTTCCTTTGCTCCTGCTATAAAGCACATTGAATCAATACCTCCTTCAATAGTTCTTGCTCTAATTCTGAGCTATAGTTCTAGGAAGAAAAATGCATCCTGACTCAGAAGAAGTGAAAGTTGCTCAAGTTGATTGTTGGCTGTCCACAGCTATAGGAAGTTTGTCATTCCTCAGGAATTGTGCTCAGATGGTTCTGCTTTTCATTAATTACTTCCATGTGTCCAGGGAATAGCCGTGTCCAGGGTGGTCATTAATGGGGATGGAGAGGAACTGCCTGTTTTGTATTGCATCTTCTGTACTTTGGATTGTTTTATGTGTATTTTCACTCAAGATTAGATGATGCCAGGCTTGGCGACACTGTTGGTTCTGCATGCATTTTGTTTACAATGGGTTTGTTATTGTACTGCAGGGAGTTTTGTTTGCTTTTGCATTGTCAGCTGCTCTAGTCTGAAGAAGGCTTTTCTTCAGACCTGCAAAGCTCTCTTGGTCTACTTAATGGATCTTTTTTATTTGCTGTGTTTTGTTAGAAGGAGGTACTGTGCCTTAGTGTGCAAAAATTGTTAATATCTGGACTGTAAATAGAAGGCACCTTACAGGTCGTTCCTAGGAAATCGACAGTTGAATTGTCACTGGGACCTCACCTTTGGTGAAGTAGTGTGTCTACAAGAGATTTTATTAGTTTTATTGTAAGCCACAAGGAGGAGTACAAGTAATAATTGTGTGACATGAATTGATTTATAAAACTAAATTTCTAAATGTTTTCTTGGGTTTTCCTCCTCTTCTAGCCACCCATTCCAGGGCCAGTACTCTGTGTCAGATGTGAAGTTAAGATTGTCACAGTAAGTATATAGTATTTGGATTTTTTTATAGTTTTTAAAGTGTGATCAAGTATTAATAACCTACTTTTCCTATGATGAACTAAAACAAAAGAATTATCTAAATTGGGCCTGCACATGAAACTGTACTCAGTGTTCTGCAAAACACCACGTCTAAAGATGGAACATTCGCTTAAATAAGGAAAAAGAGTGCTAGTGCACTATTTTGTGTTGGACTTCACAATAGAGCTCTGTTTTTCTTGCATTGCAATCATAAGGCTTTTGTATCTTTTCTTCCTCTGAGAAGCTTGCCTAACTGATCTGTGTGAATAAGATGCAGGAATTATGGGCTTGATGATGTATGTATATATAGAACTATACGCTATGTAAATTAGTGTGTGTGTTGATATATAAACTTTAACTATGTATTTTATTCACACCTGGAAGTACTAAGTCAGTCAGCTAACAGTGTTCAGTATCTCTCTTGTTTAGCTCTGTGCAAAACAGTGAACGTGGAAAGAAGATTGGGAATGTGATGGTTTCTACTAGCCGAAATGTTGTTCAAACAGGAAAAGCTGTAGGTAAGACATTTGTTTCAAACCAGCTTGCATCTAAGCCATATTTTTTTTGAAGAAGCATCCTATATCTCAGTTATGGTTTGTTTTAATCCAGGTGTACTTTATTATATATAAAGCAGAGCAACAGTTTGAGGGGTAAAGCTGCCGATTGAGGCTCTGTATATCTGTGGAATACAGAAAGAGAAGCAGCTAGACAAAGTGTAAATTCCTTTTCTGGTGTGGGCTGGAGATGAATGTGGGAAAAGAGATGTTCAGGTAAAAGCTCTAATGGAATCTGGAAGTGCTTAGACAACATCACCACCTTCTGCACTGAGCTATTCTCATTTTTATATCAGTTCGACTGAAACTATTCAGAGCTGGTTGAAATCAGAGGAAGACCTTGTGTCAGTTTCCTCAGGTTTTGCAATAATCTGTAATTCTCTGGAAAAGCACTTCTTGCACTTGAACAGGGGCCACATCACATTGTCACAGAACCACAGAATCAATGAGGTTGGAAAAGGCCTTCAAGGTCATAAGGTCCAGCTGTTCCCCAACATTGCTAAGTCCACCACTAACCCGTGGCATTGAGGGCCTTGTCTACACAGTGTGTGAACACTTCCAGGGATGGTGACTCCAGCACTGCCCTGGGCAGCCTGTTCCAATGCCTGAGCACCCTTTGGGGAAGGAATTGTTCCTCATCTCCATCTAAACCTCCCCTGGTGCAGCTTGAGGCCATTTCCTCTTGTTCTGTCCCTTGTTCCTTGGGAGCAGAGAGCAGCCCCCTCCTGGCTCCATCCTCCTGTCAGGCAGTTGTTGAGAGAGTAAGGTCCCCCCAAGCCTTCTCTTCTCCAGACTAAACCCCCCAGGTCTCTCAGCTGTTCCTTATCACCATTGGGCTCCAGGCCCTGCACCAGCTCTGTTGCCCTTCTCTGGCCCCGCTCCAGCACCAAAATGTCTCTCTTGTAGTGAGAGGCTCAGAACTGAACACAGGATTCGAGGTGCGGCCTCACCAGTGCCCAGCATAGGGAGATTATCATCTTGCAATACCAGGTAATATGAGTTCACCCACTGAAGAATCTGATAGTTGTCCTGAAGTAGTTTTACCAAAAATTGTTTAGCTTCCTATTTTATTCCGTTGGAGTCTTTCTACTCTTTTTGCTGTTGTACAAGCTGGGAAGAAGTGCATTTCAGCTCAAGGTCTATCAAGGGCAGCACAGGCCATTCGTGCTGACCTACAGTGTTCAGGTTCTTTGAATATTTTCAGACACAGACTCTGCACTTGGATTTTAAATCCCAAATTGGATGACTGGTTATGTGGGGGTTTGTTTTTTTTTTTTCTTTCTAGTGGCTTAATAGCGATAACACTACACTACTGACCTTTGCTTTGTAATGCAGGTCAGTCAGTTGGAGGAGCCTTCACAAGTGCAAAATCAGCTGTGTCATCCTGGTTTTCCACTTTTACACAGTCAACCCAAAACCTTGGGGAGTGAATGACGGCTTTCCATGATGCTGCTGAATACTTCAGGTGCAGTACTTTCTCTGAGCTCTAGAAAGACCGCTCCAAAACATAGGAGTGGAGATTAACTATCCAGGACCAAAACAAGGTATATGTTGCTTGCAAGTAGACATGAAATGTTATTATTCAGCTTCTCTAGAAGTATAGAAGAATGGTGGTGTCTCCATACAATGGATGGCATTTCCAATATACTGGTTGTATTGAAAATGACTACTTTCCTTTCAAACTGAGCCTTTATAAAGACATTAGCAAACAGGGCTTGTGGCAAGCCAAATGTGTTTGACTTTAGATTTGTACATTTTCTTGGATGTTGAAAATATTTATGTAAACTAGTTATATTTTTCAATCCAAATAGCCAAATGTTGATGAATTCTTGTTAGAAATAAGCAGAGTATAAATACTGTTTCCTCTTTCGGGTTGGACTTGAGAAGATCTCTGCAACAAGTATACAACAGGAACCCTCAAAGGGTTCCTTCCAAGCCAGGTGAAACTTTTCACCTGCAAACTAAAATCAGAAGGGTGCAGAGTAAGACTGTGGCTTACTTAAGGGGTTTATTTTTCCCTTTATCCTCTGTACCCGTGTACAGTTGTTTGCATTATTCCAGCTCTCTCTGTCCCCAGATATGTGTGACAGTGGTGAAATCAGTATTTTCTTGACATCATGCAGTAAGCCTTCATAACTTTGCATATGTTTTGGCTGTGTTTTTACCCTGGAATGTAAATGGAATTCCAGTTGGCAAGATCTCTTTGGGAAAAGGATTACAAAACAATTCTCCCAAATTGGGATTGGATCATAAGACAGTTTTGTGAGGTCTTGCTTTATGGCAATGTAATTACACCATCAGTGTAGTTACATACATACGAACACAACGTATTAAACCTGCCTAAACCTACACCAGTAGCAAACTGTGTGGCTTTTTTAACCACTTTTTTTTTGTTACAGTAAAGTTATGAAGACTCTTCCAAATGAAAATCAGCTCTGTCGATTTTCTGTGCAAACTCAGGGAATGTTCTGTTTGGATTGCTACGTTTTTCATAAGGAAAGTAACACTAAAATTGAGAGAGGAACTGAAATGGTTCAGTTCGTATCCTTGTGTGAAGAAATGTCATAGTTTATATGAAAAGATGTGGCATAATGCTGTATTTTGTATGCAACATGCATGAGGTGTCTTCTATATGCAAGAGTTTTCCCACTTCCTCTCTTTGTGTGCCTCTTTATGCCTTCCAGCATCCCCACATGAGAGCTGTCAACATTTTCTACATTACATTATCAAATGTTCCAACTTTCTGTAGTAAAAGGCTCTTGGTTTATTGCCTCGTCAGTGTCTGTCAGCATTTTGCCATGGTCTTTTCTGGGGCCAAGATTTCAAGTCATGGTTATTTCTTCTGTTCCTCAAATAAAAGATAGCAGCTGTACAAGAGGTAACCCAGAAGGCTTGAATGTAATTTGTTTTAAGAATTGAAGTTCTGATTTCCTTAGGTGCATTTGAGAAGCCAACAGAAAAGCCACACTTGTATCACTGTCCAACAATTTAGTTTTCAGTTTTATTGCTTCAAACAGCAATTTGAAAACACGGGGTCTGGTTTAAAGCCTTCATGATTTTTTTTCCAGGACTAACTAGATAGAATGGCTGTGGAAAACCTGTGAGTGTACAGCTAGTATGAGTAGTTTCATTTGAGAAGGGCAAAAAAGGCCTCTAAAGCTCTACTAACCTACTGCCTCTGACATACAAGTAAAACGTATTTATAGAACTGCTGCAACTATTGCTCCTGGTCTCTGTGTGTATTTGTGTATCTCCTGAAACTCCTGATGCTTTTGTCTGTTTTATTCTACAACTCTGTAACAGAATAGAATTTATATCTTTTCAAAGACTAAGTAATACTTGATAGGCAGGAAGACCTCTGGTGAAGTAAGACTGGAGCTGAATTTATCCATGATGAGTCTGAAGCATTCTGATTCAGCATGCAGATAAGAAAATACTCCAAAATAATCCCTTGCTTTTGTGAAATAGCTAGCACATAATCTGCTCTCTGGGGCTTAAGTGGTCAGGCTTCATGTTGTAATGAAGACTGAGGAAAAATGCATAAAGGATTTAAGCACTTATAAAAGTAACTGCAGCAACTTAGGGCACACTGGGTAAATTTAGGCTTAGGTGCTCACAACAGCGAGTTCTAGGAGCCAGGCAAGTGATTGGTATTTCCATGTACAAGGTACAGAAGTGGGACCTTCAAGGATGCCTTTTCAGTATCTTTCTCATCCTCACCTGAGTTTTTCTGTAGAATTCTCCTGTGCCCCAAATTTGTATAGCAAATTTGTTATTGCTATACAATCTGTTATTACCCTGCATTCCCCTTACTCCCACAGACTCCCTTGCTGGTCCAGGGATATTAGGAATGATATTAGAAAGCTGACCTGTTTTTTGGCTGTTGTTTTGTTTTGGTAGGTGGGTCTGAGGAAAGGCAGAGTGAGTGCCTCTGCAGTGCTAAGGTGATACACGGCTGCTTGCTGCTTTGCACAGGGACTCTAAACGATACTTCACAGTGTTTCTCTTATGGACAAGAAGATTGAGGCAGATCTTTCTCTGCGGTCTTTTTCCCATTGTCCCAGCTGTCTCTGTAGAGCCAGACACACAACCTAATTTAAGAGTTTTCTGTTCTTCACAAATGATAGAATAAGAAACTTGTATCCATTTTCAACCTTTTAAGAACTATCATGATGCTAGCAAGTCAGGCTGTGATTTTTAAATGCATACAGTGATGAAGAGCATGCAGCAGGTGGAGATGAAATGATTTTTATAATAGGTGGTCTTCATTAATGTGTTCATTTGCTCTTTGACACATGTTGAACTTACTTTTGGGCAGTAGGGAGGCATGTGGTCACTGAGGTTTCCCTAAACTCATGTAGTCCTCTTCTTACTAACAGTTGTAATCTCTAGTTAAATCCAGTGCAAATGCAAGTTATTTTCTTCCCCTCTGTTTTCAAATGTCCAATGCAAGCATTAGTTTTTAGAAAGATTTAGGCAGTTGATTTCCCTTTTAAAGACCCTGCCATCCATTTCTGCCCTGCAAGGAACACTGAGCCCTACATCAATTGCTGATAGTGCCTCTAGTAAGTCAACTGTGAAGCTGTTGTTACAGCTCTGCCATGACGTATGTTGCAAAGGTATTTCTGGCTGATGATGTGCAGCGTGAACTCACTTCCAGGTACTCCAGTAACACACCTCTCAGATCCCCAAAACCCACAACACTAAGTATTGTTGACCTAATATTTCATTTCACTAAAAGGTTCAGCACTTCTCATCAATCATTTTTATGGTACAACCTTAACCCCTGTGCACATCTGACACCGGTTCTCTCAAATATCACAATGTGATGATCAGTTTTAGATCAGTGTTCTAGTACATTGCACTTGTTTGACCTTGTACGTGTTTTAAGCACCTTTGTAATGAAATTGAGTCTTTTGCCTAAACAAGCTTCTGATTTCCATACCAATTACTAAGCAGAGCAACTAATGTGGCAGTATTTAATGATGAAAGTGAAGGCATGAATGCAGTTTTTAAACATAAAAACTGTTGTTTGATAATGAAACATTCAAGTAATGTATTGGATTTTTTCTTCTCCTGCTTGAAAAATAAATACATCCAGCCTGTTTAAAGCTCTGTCTGCTCAAAAAGCTGTATTATTTTAAGAACTGAATCCCACCAGACTACACTTGCAGGCATCTAGTGTGATACTGGTAGCTGCTTGTTTTAGGCTGGCAGTCTAGCTTGTCTTCCACTTAAACTGATCATGCTGTTGCTCCTTGCAAATGCAGGACAAGAGGATCCTCGAGTGTGATTTTTGATTCCCTATTGGGTATTGCTCATTGTGAATTGATTAAAGCCTTCAGTAGGTCACAGAGCTCTCTTGCATCAGTGAGAACTTCAGGTACAACTACAATGTGGATGTAGATTTAGCTTCACGTTAATACATAGTTCATGGGGATTGTGACATCGAGTGAAAACCAGGGGGCTGAGTAAATGAAGTGCTGCACATCCAGTTCTCTGCCATCGTGAGCTGTTTTAAAACATGGTAACTTCTACTCTTGCTGTCCCTGTCCCTAGCTGAGAATGACCTGGTAAATTGCTGTAGGATCAAACTGCCTCCAGTACCACTGGGATGTGAATTGGATGGAGCATGTGTCTAGAAAAGAGTTAAAATTCTCCAAAACGTGTTAAAATGTTTCAGACCATGTGCAAGTTGTTGTGCAAACACACTGAAAGAGAGACCTCCATAATGTTGTCAATGCGGTGTCATTTGACTTTCTTGCAGGTATTTAGTTTGCTTTCAAAAGGGCAACATGGACAGTACTGATTAAAGGCAGAAACACTCCATTACTGTACTGTGATTAAAGATGTCTGACAAATTGCTTTGTGGTGTTTGGAGTCTTTAATACTGTAGGAGAGAAGAGACTGGCTTAAAGAAAACCAGTACAGAGCTTTAGTTCTGTGATGTTTCTGGTCTTGGCCCCTTTGTTTATCACACAGTAGGAGTAGTGCTTGGATCCATAAAAAGAAGTTAACTAGTGACCCTTACTCAGGTTACTTTATTCCCCCTAATTTGACAGTTGTGTGTGTGCACCATCTATACAGTGGTGGAACTTGGAAATCAAGCTGTCTTGTTGAGTCCTTCTGTATAGGTTTGGAAGTGCCTGATTGTACACTGCTCTTCTTGTAATACTATTCCAAAATCAACTGATAAAAAACAAGGTAGGTTTTTTGTTACTTCCCTGCCTGAATGGACTAATGTTGGTGAAAGCATAATTGCTGTTTGCTTCAATACTAGCAGAGAAATCCTACACAAACTTCTTTTCTTGTCTTCAGCTAGATCACCAAGAAGGGCACACTGCTTCCTAGAAAGAATATTTAGACTGAAGGAAGACCAGTTATCTGAAGTGAGGGCAGATACAGAGGTGGGGAATAACATCACTTGCATGCTAGATGAAACAAACGGGAAATACTGAAGGAGTAAACTTGGTTGGTCCCTCTTATCTCTGAATTCAGAGACTTTATGAAACGCACAGAAGCACCATGGAGAATTCATGAGTTGAGGCAAACCAGAAAGTCAGAAAATAATGCTGAGCGTAATGTGTTGTCTAATATGACCTGTGGTTACTGACCTTTGCTGCTCTGAATTGTGTGTCTATGCATTTTGATGTGTGTAATGCTGTGCTGAAAAGCTGGCTGAAGAGTACATCCACTCTTAAATGGTATTCTTCAGTAAGAACACGTGCTCAGAGGTAAGTCAGCAAGCTATAGCTCTTGCAGTGGCTAAATAAAACCTCAGTGTCAGGATCTAGCTTGACGTTTGTCACATCAGCTGAATAGATTCTTAAAGCCTGCATTATATCACTACCTTTTTATTGTCTTGTTTACCAGCTCTTTGGTCATATTCTGCAGTAGAGTGCGTGTCTGTATTCAGTACAGTGTTTCAAGAGATGAAGCCATGTAACATTTGAGGTGACCAGTCCTAGTTCAGGAATGGTGTGTGTATGCTTAAACACTCCCTTTACTGAAACGAAGCTACCTGGAGTCACAAGTTAGACCAAGACACATAAGAGCTGTATGTTTTAGAGCAGGAGGGGAGAAAAGTACATGCTTTTATTACTCTTTCACCTTCATGCCTGTCTTACCTTCTCTGTTAATCCTTTCTTTCCAGATTGGAATTTAACCCTGTACTGACCCAGGTGTTGCTGGCTGTGAGTGATCCCTGCATTTTACTCAGGCTGCTAGTACTCATCCTCCAGGTTACAGGTTCTGTAAGAACTGTGCCTTCCTGCATTGTACTCCGGTTGTAGGAGGGAGATAATCTTAAATACTTCTGGAGTGAATCCAAACAGAACTGGGTCTGGCTAATGTTAAGCATGAAGTGGAAGGAAACTGGTTTTAAGGGTGAGTCTGCCTAAATTAAAGCTCCTTTCATGTAGGAATCCAGACCAAAAAGAAAACAATGTTAAGGTAGCTGTAAATGGGAAACAGAGGAAGGAAAACACCAGGCTGCTGCTGATGCTTCAGGCATCACAATGGCTTGTCCACATGTTCCATAGTACTTCAGTGGGGCAGGTGCTAGTGCATTGGAACAGAAGCACTGAGAAGTGACATGAGAAACATGAAAAAACAAAACTTCAGAGTTTTATCAAATTATTCCCCCCACCCCTGTGATCCTGTTCTCTGTAAAGCTTGACACAATTCACTGCTCTAGACCTGACTGGTCCCCTTAGAACAAAAGTTAAACTTGCCATTAGGTGTGTATTTAAACAACTGCAAAAAACAAGGGGATGCATTAAAAATAAGCAGAGGCCAGACTGCTTCCTTTTATCACTTCAGGTGGGGGGAAACTGAAACTCTGGGGGACTAACTTAAAGGAATTCCACCAGAAAAGCAGGATGTTTTCTGCACTTACAGCCAAGTGTGAGGACATACAGAGTATATTCTTTGGAACTTGTATGTAAATGTACTCCAAAGCCAAGCCCAGGCTGGTATTAGGGTGTAGCTTTGTAGTAAAATACTAGTTTAGAACTCTGTGAAGGCTTTGATAGTATTTGCTCCATTCATGAAATGAGAACTGTATTTTTCAGCTGTTGTCTTTCACTCTATGTCCAGTGCCCATCTCCAGGCACATGCCAGCATTTTGCCTGCACAGTTTCCTTCTCCAGTTATGCAAGGAAAGAACTGAGACTTGAGAATAGCACTTCTCAGCTGTGTTTTCCGCTGGGGTTGAATACTGACTGCAACAACTAGTTTTATAAGCAACTGAGGCAAGAGCTAGTTTGTCTTGAATGGAGTCACTACAGAACTGTTCAACACTTGACTAGTTTAAATACTGTACAAATAATAGTAAATTAATTCACAATAAGGTCCTACATCATCTCAGACCATATAAAATGAAAATAATAGCTAGAACAATATAAAAATAATACATTAAAGATGCAGACCAGCAGGAAGCCCTGTACACCAGCTGTGTTTTAAGATATTCCCAAAGGCATAAAATTAAGGACAGCTCTTCCAGATTCTGTGAGGCAACTGCAGCAGCCACTGAAATTTAGTCACCTCTTTCCTATTCAAATTTACCCTTTTTTTCCCCCCCTTCCTTTGGTAAGGAACTATGCATAAGATTTTTAAACTCAAGCTGAAGGTTCTCACGCAGCAACCCCACTGTGCTCCTTCACCAGCTATAAATCATCTCCAAGCACCTGGGCTTGTCCTGAAGCCTCTTGCAGCATGATACAGTGGGCAGAAGGGAGCAGCCCCTTCAGACCAGCATTCCCAGAGACACCACTCACAGTTTTGCCCAAGGTATGCAATTTTCTAAATCCCATTCTAAAGCAGTATCACTGGTTTTCCTTTATTGTACACTCGCCTGAGTGGGCTTGCAACTGGAGGTGCCAGGCTACATGCCAGCAATAGGAACAGCTCTACCAGCAGCTTGCCTATTTCTCTTCTGTTGGACCAGTCATTATTCTGGCTCCCATAAATTCCTGCAATAGCACAAAATCCTAAAGCATTAAGAGTTTTATATAAGGCAGCTTTCTTACCTGAAGTCCCTTTCCCACTCAAAGCCTTAAACAAAGCTTTGTAAATCCATGTAGGTGCTGTAACTCTATTTGTGGAATAAGGAACAGAATCAAAAGAAAGCCAATGGCAGTCTGGTTGATGGTATTAAAGACTGAAAACAAGTCTCCCATCTTCTGAGCTTGCAGAAAAGATCCCTCATCACCTCCTTAATGCCCACTCATCACTTTCAGTTGAGCAGGACTTGTCCCATGACTGGAGAAGTGCTGACAGATCAAAATCATAGCAGGGGATTCCAGTTCTATATAATCCTTAGTTCAACTTAGATTCCCCTTTCAGTGATTAGTAAGTACAGTCAACTCCTGTGCTTCTCTCCAGACTTCTCACAGCTCAACTACTGCCAGTTGCCTTCAACAAACTACTCTATGCATAGTAACTCTACGTCCTTCAAGCAGAAAGCACACTTCAACTCAAGTTGGATTCAGTCTTTTTTAATAAATTAATGTCATTCAAAATACAGTGCCAGAACATGATGCAGCTGAACATGCTAGTAAGGTTTGTCATGAAGCACCTGTGTTCATGTTAGATTGGCGGCGCCCCGCTACTGCTAGTGGTTCCTGGGATTAATGCCAGAGCAGCACTAGTCATCTGCTCTCCTGCACGCAGAGCACAGGATATTCCTGAAGTTTGCTCCCCTCCCTCCCCCGAGTAAAAAACCTGATAGCTAAGGGATATCTATACACAATCACACTACAGTAATGCTTGTTATTAAATTAACAGAAAATAAAGACCTGGTTAATCCACACTAAATCTTTGTTTTACAATGGAAAAATACATCAGCAGCAGGAAGTAATATACACGAGCCAATGGTACTGTAACACAGAGCATGGAGGCATTTCGTGATCAAAGCTCCACGCAGACCCGCACTATGAGGGCTGGCAAGTCCTACTTCCAAGCCCAGCAACTAAAGTCCACACCTGGTAATCTACCAGCTGCTTGGAAGACCTGTATTCTAAATAGACAGGTATAAGTTAGTGAAAATAGGATACATGCACCTAACAATACAGCTTGACTGAACCTGCAGTCATTGTGCCCTGCATGTTACCATA